TTTTTTTTTTTTTGTTTTTTTTTTCAGTACAACCATAACGAGAAATTACAACTTGATTTTTAATTGCTGAAGCGCTATTTTGGTTTGGTAAGATATATTAAAGTGGAAGTTTGGTTCTCACACCTTGCCATGAATGCAATTTACATGCAGCTGGGTTGTAGGGTTGATGCTGCATATCTTAATGTATAGTCAGGGTACCGCCAAATTTAAAAACAAAGAAATTCCCAAATCCATTTAAACTATTGCGAGAAGCAAACATTCAACGCAATATCCAAGTACATGTGACAAAACAAGGTGAGAGCTATTGGGGAGGACATGGTAATATCAGTACGTCATCTACATGTAGAACAAAACTGTATATCACCATACTTGGAACTGGTCACATTCTCTCCTGCAACTACATTGACCTAAAGTTATGTAATTCTAAGCTCTTACTAACTTAGCATGAGGGCCGTACTAAGGAATATTGGCCCAAGGTCATCACAGTATGAACCAAGCACAGCGAGATCTGTACAAAAATGACCGAGGGCCAATATTCCCCAGTACGGCTCGAACAAGCTAGGTCAGTAAGTAGTTAAAAAATAAACGGCTTACAGTATGACCGTTTTCATAGAAATGGTCCGTATGGCAAAGTCCCAACCAATCAGAACGCTCAAATTTAACTCAAAACTATCTTGCTATATAATAAAATGCGTCACTAAAATGAAGTAACAGTAATTACAGCATGAGCTATTGTACATAAAAGATTACAACTGCCTGATGTATGTTCAACATTTTTTTTGAAAATTAATGATCATTACAAATGGAGATCCATGTGTAAACACATAATTTTGCTCTTCCTAACTTACACAGAGTGGTATTTCCTGTATCATTGCCCAGGTAATTTTCCACTTTGCAGGTGAACGTGTAGACGCTTCTGTTACTTGCTTGAAAATTTAGCACGCTCTCATGACATACACCTTGCTGTGGATCACATGCTGTCCAAGTATAACTAGGCTGGGGATTTCCTTCTGCTTGACAGTCAAGAGACACACTTTGTTGTGATGCAACTTCAAGTTCACTCACAAGTTTAACAATCTTGGCAGGATCTGTAATTTTAAAGCGGTGAAAAAAAATATGTTCCATCACAAGCTGTCTTAAATGTAAAACACACCAGGATCACTGATACATAGTAACGTACATGTAACTGTGAACTAACTCCTGCTTCAACAAGAAAACAAAGTTACTTCCTGATGGAATGTTTATTTGCACCCATGTAATATGACAGATGCCCCCGAAATGACGTATATTGTATGAGAGATGCGAATGATACTAAAAGGGTGCAAACAATCATTTTATTGCAATTGATTATCAATATGACAGGGCAAATAATTGGCCATTGAATGCATTTGAAAGCGGCGAAAGCCGGGAATCTCTGAGGCACAGGGTTTTCAAAGTGAAATAAACTAGTAGGAGGAAATCGTAAAGTAGGCGGAGCACAACTAGGTCGCAACAAAGGTAGGAGAGTGCGGAAAAGTCCTGAAGTGGATTACCCACTCTAAAGGACAAGGGAGATAGGGTGCTGGCCCTGGAAAAGTTTTTAAAATCTGTGTGCGTTGAGCTTCATTCCTCTGCATTTAATTTCTAGCACACAAAAATGATTCTGTTCTAAGTCACAGCACACTACTTTATAGACCCTTTTCAGAAATGGTTGCCAATTAAAATCATCATCAGCAGCAGCATCATCATTTGGAAAATATAATTTTTGAAAAACCTGAGGTAAAGCGGTGGTAAGTTACAGTTTCGGTCCTGGTAATCATTATGCAGAACATGCCATTCTCAGCCCCATTTCCTTTCAACCCAACAATTTGCTATTTGATACCTCAATACATCTTCACTCAGATAAAGAGTTGGCTAGCTTATGTAATGTACTTACAAGTAACATTCACTTTAAATACTTTGCTATCACTTGTAAATCCATTGTCAGCTGTACAGTGGTACATATATGCTCCAGAAGCAGTTCTTCTGATGTTTAAAACGTCCCAAGCTACGGTGGGGCCTGTTGCAGTACTTCATCAATACTACCATCCTCCAGTACTCTAGCCAAGATGATATTTGGTTGTGGTCTACCAGTAGTTTCGCAAAACAATGTTACATTTGATCCACGAACAGTCTGGTCACCACCTACATTCGTTAGCTTGACTGGGACTAAAAACATTAAGCAATATAATTACCATCATTAAACGTTTCCAACACCCTGTTTGGCACTAGTTTAGTTTATTCTTTAATGTTGTTATCATATATGTGTATATATCATAATCCAACACTCCAGTATAGGTGATGTGTGGTGTTGGTATCATTTACCAGTTAGTTGACAGTGAAAGAGAGGCAATTGCGAATTAGGAAATTTGGTTCACTGTGCATGACTCAGGCTGTATATGAAGTCATGTTCACTAGCTTGTATAATCTAATCACTCCTTGCTACACACTCACTTTATTTATTACCTGCTGAAAGAAAAAAAACTAACATCGGCGCAAGTTGTCTATCTGTTCATCTTCGAGATCAAATTCGTGACTGTTTTGTGCACAATGTTGTGTCAACAAAGAGTTCTTATCACTCGTAATGACGGCCCTTTTGTGCTCTTTTGTTTTTGTTTTTAAAGCGCGCGAGGATTTTTTGCCTTTGATTTTGTAAACAACTCTGGTAGATAGATCTTCGCTAAATTTGTATTAAGGTTTTTTTTAAAGATTGAACCAACGGTATTTACAAGTTTTTTGCGATCTTCTCCTAAATTCCTTTTATGTACGGTAAAACGACGAAACATCCACGTTCTTCAGGCTTATACGACTTCTTGCTGGCTGGCAGGTGTTGTGGTGTTTTGACAGCTGTTTATGAATTGATCTGTGTAACCGTTTACCTTAAGGGCGTCAACTACGCGTTGTACTTCCGACAACTTGACGACCTCACTTGAAGGGATCTTTTTTGCACTTTCGAGGAGGGTTATAGCTACCGACCGCTTGTGTTGTGAAGGATGGTACGAGTTAAAATCGAAGAGCTTGTCAGCATGTGTGGCTTTTCTGTCGACGCTGGTTCTAATAGTGCCATTGGGGTTTCTCGTTGTCATTGTGTCGAGAATCGAAAGGCAATAGATCTGTCGTTCTCCTCTTCCACGGTGAGCTTAATGTGTTCGTTGAAAGAGTTGAGATGGTTATGGAACTCTCTGAGGTGCGACCTAGAGAGGCAGACGTGGCTGTCATCGACATACCAGGACCACCATTTAGGAGGATGGGGTGAGGTGCTCAGCGCTATTTCTTCGATGTGCTCCATCAAAATGTTTGCTAGGATTGAACTCAATGTTGAACCCTTAGGGCAGCCAAATGTTTGCTTGTGGAATGTTGTTCACTGACAGATTGGTTCTTTCGGAGATGGTCGGATCGGCTTCCAGTATCTTCCCAGTAACCTGGAGTGCCAGGGTCGTCGGTATTGATGCAAAGAGTGACATGACATCAAAGGAAGGCATGATCTCCTGTGGGTCGACGGTCACCAATTTCTAACGGTCACTAATCTCGATGATGTACAGAGAGTGGACGACTGTTCACAGTGGTCGCGAAGATTGTTTCTAGAAGCGTGGCATTCGATGCGTGACCAGAGTGCTATTAATGAGCCCATCCAGATTCCAGTCATGTACACTATTTTAGCCAATCCCTAGTGGACTCTCGCTAACTTTTAAAGGCCTCATTTACATCTTGACGCCGTTTCTGACGCGTAATTTTTTTGCTTTTTGTTTTTTTGTTTTTGTTTTTGTTTTTATTATTATTTCTTTTATGGTAAAGAAAGTTAATGTAATTTGTGATAATCGGTATTAATATAAATTAATATTTTCCTGACACGGAGCGGAGAACTTGGTGGGAAAGTAGACTAAGTACGCGAAGGTTCATGGGTAGTACGTTTGTAAAAAGAGACGGTTTAGAAACTTGTGACATTCTACGGTCGGCCTTGCCACTAGCACTTTCCCATAAGGTTTTATTTTTATTGTGTAATTAGCGTCATATGAGTTTTTTCATTCTGTTGTTTATAGATCAACCTTAAAACCCCAAAGGTGGCGCCACTGCATTTGGTCGGGGGTACACGGTCCCTATTTTACCTAACAAGAGGTTTTTGGGGTTTGCGTGTCCGGCTTTGGCGCATGCAGGATGTTACTTGATGTATCTCTTATCCACTTTGTTGTAATCTTATTGTTGGAAATAAAACATATCTTGGGTCTGGCTGACCAACGCGTCCATGCCTCAACCTTTGAGTGTGTTCGGTTGTGTAGTGAAGGCAAAATCAGGATTTTAACCGAAACATCCAAATCAACCTTTTTTTAGTCAGTGACAGCAAACATGTTAATACTACAGTACTTTACTCTGGACGAGTCTTTCATGCTATGAATGAAAGACGCAGATAAATCGGTTACATTAAATATATGAACTGTGTTTGCTTGATTGCTAAACCAGGGTGCACTCTGTTCATAAACAATGTCTCGGACACGTAAAATGCTTACATGTTACATTCACTTTAACTTAGTAGCCAACTGGATTTCCAAATCTGTTGTAAGCTGTACAGCGGTATGTTCCAGAGTAAGTTCTGCTGATGTTTGAAAAATCCCAAGTTGCTCCCTGGCGCAGTACTTCATCATTGCTACCAAACTCCAGCACTCTGGTCCAGGTAATGTTTGGTTTTGGTTTACCAGTTGCCTCACACAATAACTGCATGTTCGACTCTTCACGCACAGTCTGGTTACGACTTACATTAGTAAGGCTTGCTGGAACTGAGAAAAGCATGCACACAGTGAAGATTTACTCTTACATGTACGTAATCTCAAGACAAAGTCATGTTTGATCCTTCAAGCACAGTCTGGTCGCGACTGCCATTAGTTAGCTTGGTAGAAACTGATGAAGATGACGATGACGATGAAGACGATGATAATACTACCAATGCTGCTGCTGCTGCTGCTACTACTACTACTAGTAATAATGTAATTAATAATGATAATAGTAATGTAATTACGCACAGTAACGTATCTCTGACACTCAGAAAGGTCTTGATGCTTTGCAAGGTATTTCACAGAAGAATTCCTTTTTTGAGTTTTCATGTAGGGTGTAACAACAAGGTGGACTGGAATGAGAGGTGATCTCTTTTCCAAAGTAGAGAAATTAGCCTCATTTCGTCCCCAAACCTCTTTTCGCTTCTCTCAATCTACGTGGCCTTGGCACTAGAATCGAAGGGCTCCGGGGACATAGGATTTTCGAATTAATTCGACTTTTTTTATTCGCCTTTTGAAAACAAAGACATCTCGAACGGAAGTCAAAATTTTCGTGCGAAAATAGGAAGTTTAAGAAAACCACGAAAGCAATGGTAACGGTGGACTTTCTAAAAGTCCTTTCCAATAATTCTTCCCTGGCCTGTTTGTTTCGCCGCCTCTCGTGACTTACGTCGCTCGCGCTCGCCCTCGCGACTTCGTCGCTCGAAGATCAGGCCTTGAAGATCACCTTCTTGCTTCGCTCGAGGGCGATAGATAAGTCAACGATTAAGGAAAGGTCGACTTGTGGCAAGTCTACGGCAACAGGAACGTTGCTAAACAAAAGGTTTGAACAGCAATACAATGGCTGTGCACTTGCGTTCTTTGCCGTCCTCTGCAAAACATCAACTTGGAATTCGAAAGACGAAATGCTGCGTTGCCTGGAGAACGTAAACCACGACGGCTATTTTTTTTTTAATTTTATTTCAAATTTATCGCTGTGTCCCAGATTTAGTTTCATGGTAGTTTTGACAGTGATAAACAAAGTAAATGTTTTTAGAGTACCGTGAGATTCGAAGGTAAAATATAAAATACATATATATTTTTTTTATCGACGTTGCACAGTCCTCGGTGTTGCCTTCGTGGTTACTTAAATTCCCTAGTATCCCTAGTATGAAACAGCTGTGACCAGCGGTGTTTAAAAATAGAGGTCATGAAGGATTTGGGAGAAAATTCTTCCCAAAAAATAGTGGTCAACTTTCTCTGTCGCCACAAAACGGCTTTTGTTAGAAACCATCCGGTTGATATTTTCGGCGAGAAAAATAGCAGAGCCGGAAATTTAAAAAGTTCTGGAGTTCAGTTTTTGACTCAGAAAGAGATTAAGTTTGGCGATGGCTTTCCAGTAAAACTTTGCGAACCGTGCTATACAGAAAGGTGACGACTATTATAGAATTCCGCTGTTTCTCGCTGACATCACTTTCTTCTCAGGAATTGTCGATCGTAGGGGCTCATGTGAAAAGAATCCGTGGCCGCCACTGACAATCCCACACAGTATATAGAAAACATTAGGACTACTTACATAAAGACCGGAAGTCCCAGAAATCTTACGTTCCCAGAGTCCTTCGTTTCTCGTGCCAAGGTCACGCCGGCTAAGAGAAGCGAAAAGGGCTATGGAGACGAGAATGCATTAGCCTCAGTTGCAAGCTAGTTCCAGTCCAATACCGAGGATACGAAATTGTTCCATTTCATCCTCCAGGAAAATGGCTTTTTAGACCAAAACATGGCGGACCGCACATCCTCAAACCGAAAAACTCCGACAGTGATATTCCAAACAGAATATGTAAGACAGCGTCCAAATTTGAAAGAGAAGTTCTAAAAATTGGCCGCCTTTGTTCACATTCTCTCGAGTAGGGAAAAATGCGGACTTTTCATGCTGTTGTTTTAAAAAGAACGGTAAAGAAATATAACGCACGCTTACACAGCCACTGTACTCGTTGCTGCTGCCCTTGTGATTTGCTTAATATATATAGGTTTAGCCGAGTCTAAAAGCGGAACTCCTGGGCCGAGTTGATCAAAGCCCTATTAAGCTAACCCAGGACATGCGAGAATTTTGATTTGAGTTTTGTAACTTTGCGATGAGGTTTTGTTTTCATATTGTTTGGTTTTCTGTTTTGAGTTTGAATAATCTCAAACTTCAGACACAGGTTGTGAAAAACATTTTTATACAAGAAAAACTTATACTTCGATTAACTTTTAATCGTGGGTTAGCGTTAACCGGCTTCTGAACAACCCGGCCCTGATTAAGCTGCATGACTTGGTATTAACTGGGGTATGGCCGCCAGGTTGTCCAACGTCGCCGTTGAGCGCACGCGCCCGCGATCCATGCCGTTAGCCATGTTGACCATGAAGAAAAAAGTCGCGTGGTTTTCTATTTCTATGCATGTCGTTCTGTTCCTATAGTTATGGTGCTCCGCCTGGCCCATCTCTGGCCGCCGGAACTCCGTTATTAAACTCCGAAAAACCGAACAACAAAAGAATGAACCGCCAAACGAGCACAAAGCAAGTGAAAGCTCGGCCGAACAAAGAGAAGGCAAAAAGGACTACTTAGAAACGTATTCTTGAATCAAAACATAAAAAATTATCTTCACAACATTTCCCGCTGCATTTCGTCTCACATAGTTCCAAGAAAGTCGCTTTGGCTGTCCACGCATCAAGCGAGTAACATCCCAGAAAAAACTGGGGACCATGGGCACTTTCCGTTGGACCAAAAATCCCTGAAATTCCGGGTAGGGGAACGAATGGAACAGGCATTTTCCGGAATTTCATTTCGAAATTTTGGGTGTTCCTCACGAGGTTGGCCTAAAATTCCGAAAAATCGGAATAACCAGAAAATTCCGTTCCATTCGACTATTCCTGCTCGGACCCAGTCACTCCGAGCCCAGAAATCGAACTCAACATGGCTGATCCTCAACCTTCTCAATATCATCAGTGCTCGTCATGTTTTCTAGCTGACCGACGATTATTGCAGTGGATTGGCCACAAAAAGCTTCCTGAGCTTTAGTTAGTAGTGCGAAAATACATGCAAACTACAAGAAATGCGGGCTTGATCGCGCAAGTGAACAGCTCGAAAGTGACTCTTGAACTCGTCTGGAAAATAGAGGTATCGTATCGTCGCGGACTCCTTTTAAATTCCTACGCATGTAAGAGCTTGCTACACTGATAAAAGTTATATTGTCTTCCTCATCTAATACATCGGTTGTTTCAACTTCAGAGTCGTCGAGCAACTCCGAAGCAAGTAATCTCTTACCCTACACATTTGTTTTGTGTGTGACCTTTATTCCCACAGAACAAAAGAATTACCCATGACATTCCCCGAAACCAAGTCGTAGGGTTTATCAATGGTTTATCTAACCAAAACAGTACTTTCACCAATTGGGTGGAAGAAAGTGGTAAATACAGGAAGCCGCAGCACACGCTGAGGACATTTTTCTGGTGTTATACTGAAATTGCGCCAAATAACCCCGCACGTAGGGCGCGTTTTCAGGGTCAAAATTAAAAAAAAACTTTTCCACCTTTTCTTACCTGCTAAATAAATTGTCACTTATTTCCTGTCTTTGAAATTAGACAGTGCACATCTCTTTTGACTTTCCGCCTTTCCTGAATACTAAAATCATAACATCCGACATATTTTGACCTTTTTGAACAAAATTCTCCGCGTTTCCTGACTTCTCTCGAATTTTAAGTCCGGCATGTTCTGACTGGTTACCAAATGTCGTATGACTTAGTTCAGCAAAGATTATGCTCGAACTGGATATCTCATACTGACACCTGAAAAGCAATTTAGTTCATAATCAAACCCGACATTCTGATTTGTGAGATTTGTTCATGCATGCCCGTGTTCTGACTTCTCGCTTCTACCAGGCGTCTTTTCAGCGCAAGCCTGGATCCTAGAACATGTGACTCCAACTTTCGCGCCTACTTTCGTGTGACAACACTAATACCACCACGAGGTCTCACTCAATACTGTAGTTTAATGTCGGATTCCCAGGAAAATATCTTGAGAGAACAGGCGGATCGACTAATTCAGACGGCCGAACATTTGGGAAGAGCAGCTTCAATGTCATAGCCGAATTCTGCTGCTTCAAATTTGCCTGCTGGCTTCGCAAACAGTGCACCACCGATCGCTTCGTCCGCTGCTTCGGAGCGTGCAATGTTATTTGAGTACAGGCCTCCAGTTGCAGGCAATGTCCGAAGCTGTGGCACCAGTGCTAGAGGCAGAGCTAGACGTCGATCAAACTCTAGGTCCTCTAGCGCCCCGTACCATCTCCACCAGCGACGCCTCACGTGGAGCATGGCCGCAGATCGTTTGTTTGCCTGGCTTACCGCTAAACAACCTGAGGGAGAAGCGCACAGAATTCCCTCGCGATGGCAACGAGACTCAAGTACATGAAGCCATCATCAGTACATTTCCATCCCTGGAAAAAAGTTACAAATGGTATCTCTGTAGTTCTGGGGTCATAGGTCTTCTTCTTCTTGGGAGCTCAGCTACCAACTCACTTGATAGTTGTATTGGTAAAGCGCTGTACAGTTATTGCATAGGTCTTGGGTTCTAACGGCCGTTAAATTTTTTTCCCACGGTTTATTTTCATATCTTTAACCCGCAAATTATTGCTACAAGTAGAATTCCTACCTAACACGTATATTCAAGGCTCATGTTTGCACTGAAAAGTGAAATTCTTCTTTACTTATATATACTAACCATGCCAAGAGGAGACCAAGGTAGGTACCCTGATCTTCTCTTGGTACTGATTATTACAATTCTCACCTGTAACAATGACACGTATTCTGTATCTCCATGTGCTTGTCACTGTTTCAAGCTGGCATTGGTAAACTGCTTCTTCTCTTTCAGTGACTTGGTTTATTATCAAGGTGGCCACTTCAGTTTTACTGATGTTAAAACGTGTTGTGTAATCATTTCTGTCAAATACTGTTACTTTACCATCAGAGTGAAAAATATTTCCAATATCATCATCGATGATGTCATCATCAATGGAAAATTGGGTGTTTCGCAGATCTGAACCAGGTGACAGAGTGTAATCCCACCGCAGAGGCATCTGAGTACTTCCTTTCAACACTGACATGTTAACTGTTCTAATATCATTTGGATTCGTCTGAGTCCACTGAGGAGGAGGTGCTGTCCATTCAACAGAAGACGCTGAAAACACAACATCAAACATTTCGGTTTTTGTCACAACTAATAACAACTTCCTTAAATGTTGTCTACATATTTTCTAACTCTAATATAATTTGGGTTCGTCCGAGTCTACTGAGGAGGAGGTGTTGTCCATGCTACAGAAGTCGCTAGAAAATACAATATTACTTGGAAATATAATTTTGTACTCGATTTTTTAAATCGCATTAAAGCTATGCTCACTATCACTTGTTCAAGCTCATGTGTCAGCGCTTCATTACTGGCATCATTGTTCCACTTCATTGGTCCTCCATTAGTATGAGCGTCCTTACTAATTTGCTGTCAGTTTTATGCCATTATGGGTTTAGTACAGTGAACGATCTAACAATATTGAAAAGGCAATTTACAATAACTACAGAAATTCTCGCGCGCTACGGACACATGAATTTATACTTGATTGATGCGATGTTCACGCAACGAGCGTGAGCGGTCAATCCAGCCCTAGCGATTTTCTCGCAACTACCTGAAATGAAGCGGTGGGAAATGTGGTGAAAAGCCATTTGAAATGTTTTGATTTTCTTAAGGCCGGTCGTCATATATATAATCACCCCGATCGTTTCAATTACCGCTTTCACTTCAAAAAGGGGTATTATGATCGGGGCGACAATATGAGAACATTACCCAGACGATCGGTAATGTCAGTAGCGATTGGGGCGATCGCGATCGCTTGGATCGTCCTTGCTCTATCCGGGCGATTGGTCGCAGACCGGGGCGATCGTGTGCGATTTTATGAGAACTACTTTCTCACCGGGAGACGATCGAAGTGATCCAAACTTTCCCATGGTGTATCAATATTATCCAGGGCTCAATACGACCTCACAACCAACAGGGCCGCTAAAACAGTAGTTTAACCAGGCATTGTTCATGGAAGAAGTCCAAAAATACCACTGTACATACAACAAGTTTTCAAAGGACTATAAAAATAAGTATATTGGATTCAACACTTGTAAAGCTATAGGAAAAAAGTTTGGTTTGAATGCCCCCGAACCAGAAAGAAGACTAGTATAAAACATTCGCACTACGTACGGACGTTACTTGTCGGACCTAGCTAGGCCTCAACAGAGCGCTTTACGCATACCA